TGTGTGTGTGTGTGTGTGTGTGTGTGTGTGTGTGTGTGTGTGTGTGTGTGTGTGTGTCTGGTGCTCGTTGAGTACGCGTGCCTTGGGGAAACTGGGTGTTGCAAAGCATTCGCCCGCAGCCACTCCCCACCTCCTCCCCTCCACCGCCTCATTGTGAAGCCGCCGTGCTCTCATTGGCGGAGGAGCAGCCACTCTAAACGAGGAAATGGCAGACATTGTTGCTCCATCTGTTCTGCAGCTCATTGTGCAACTTTTCCTGCTCTGCTAGGAAAGAAAATTCAGCTCTGACCGGCACTCGGACGCAGAGGAGGGAGGCTGGAGTTGCTCTGTGCTCCTCCTGCAGCTTCATCAGCCTTGGATGTAGATGCTGAGGAAATTTGCAACTTATTTCTCACTTATACCTGCACTGTTTTTCTTTTGTTTTAAGGATCTAAATATGAGTTAACATCCCTTGCTTGATTCTTTGTTGATCTTTTAAGGCTTGGTAAGTCCTACTTATTTGCTTCTAATCTCACTTTTACACTGAAATTCCTCTTTTTGGGGCATTTTAGTGATTGTTTTTTAAATTCCTTGTCTGTGCTGCAGCAGTGTTACTTCATGACAGGTTGCTGCTCCCAAACCAACAGGGTCCGCAGCATCATAAATCACTGATACACCTCAAATGACTCAAGTCCCCTTGAATTTAAAACTTCAAACAAGGAGGAAAAGAGGCACTTGGTGAGATATTGTGGATGGGAGCTGCAGAGTTTGGCCGAGTCGAGACCTGAACTGTCAGTTTTACCACAGCATGACGTGCAAAGCAGCGCTGCACCTGCCTGCAGCTGTAGTTGTTTGAATTTCTGCTAACGGTGTTATCTGTGGTGATAGGGGAGCTTGGTGGGGGTGGGGTTGTGTTGTTGCGGAGGGGGCGGGGGTAACAAAAAGCAAGCTTGTTTTTTTTTTTTTAATCTGGGTCGCATCAGGGTGAAGGATGCAAGAGGTTGTTTGGCTCAGGAGTGTGTGCAGTTCTGTCTGTGCACATCTGACCGTGTGTGTGTGTGTGTGTGTGTGTGTGTGTGTGTGTGTCCCGCCGCGTCTTTCTTGTTGCTCCATTGGCCGTCTGGAGGCAGGGGTGCGGTGTGTTGTGTTTGTGTGTGTGCAGGGGGGAGACACCAGTTGCGAGTACAGCTCAGCAGACATCTGTTGCCCTGCTCCTGGCGGGGAAAGCCTATCTAGACACACACACACAGAAACACACACACACCCCCCCCCTTTAGTTTTTTTACAGAAAGTTTTGCACAGTGTCCCGCAGTGATGTACCGCCAGACACCCCCCCCCACCCCCCCACCCCCGCACACACACACACATTCAATCCCACCCCCCCCCACTCTCTTCAGTTTTACACACTAACACAAAGCTCCCACATACAAAGCTCTGTAAGGACTGTGTTACATATTCATTACTGCCTCCATCAAAGCCTGCAGTGGTGTGTGTGTCTGTGTGTGTGTCTGTGTGTGTGTCTGTGTGTGTGTGGGAGCTGCTCAGCTGATGTTTGAAAGATGCACCCACTCACCCCGCAGGTCTGGAGATGGTGCGAGGAGGTCACTTGCTCTGCTGTTGGTCCGTTGAGACTCTTTCTGCTGAATGCATCATTCACCGGAGCCGGGACCACACCAGACGATGTTTCTTTTCAATTCGAAGCATGAAAAGAGTCACATTTAACAGGATTATGATTAGATGTGGAAAGAATGTGACCAAATAAAATGAGATCGATGTGAAATTGGAAAAAAAAACTATCCTAAACCATATATAGCTCATTTACAATCGTATGCCACGAGTCAGGATGTGTTGTTTGAGAATATGTAGTCATTTTAGTTGTTAATATCCTTGAGACTTTTCAATATGTCTTTTTTACCTTTTGTGGGATTGTATCTATAATTTTCGAACCCTTTATAAACAAAAGAAACATTTGAGCAGAATCCATCCATTATCTGTCAGGGTTAGGGTCACAGGAGGGCGAGAGGCCGGGTTCAAACAGGGAGCCTTCCTGCTCTGGACCACTATGCAAATACAAGTCGGGTTCAGAAGTATAAAATAATAGATACTATGCTTAATTTATAAGAATAAAAAAAAAAAAAGATCTGCATTTTAAGATTTATCCCTAAATGATATGCATCAGGGTCTGTCTGCACGAGGTTAAACCTGAAACTAAAAAATACTGAGGTTATTACCATTACATTTTGTAGAGCGGTGGTTTATGGCGCAAAAGCGGATCAGGGATACTTTTTTTTCACTTTCTTTCACATGGTGAGATAAAGCTGTGAAGTTTTGCGATGATGATTTGTAGTTTTTGAAACAAGTTTAATATTATTAATTATTAATATTTGAATGAAAGGGCAGTTTGGATGAGGTGGTTTTAATAGAGTGGATGAAATGACTCTCTCTCCAGCAGTAATTTTTGTGTATGTGTGTGTTGTCATGTGTGCACGGGCACCATTAACGCCCACGGTGCACGCTCCCAGTCCAATTCCACCTCTATTGTCTTGGGTAGCGGGGTGGGATTCCAGTGAGGGACCCTCCCTTCAACCCACGACTCGCCGTCTGAACGCCGCAGCCTCTGTCTTGGCATTTGCAAGTGGAGAATGCTTTCGACAGCTGTAGCTTAGCAACAGCGGCCCGGCCGTGTTGCTAGGTAGCCCCTTTTTTGTAAAATGCACACTTGCAACAGCCCCCCCAACCCCCCTCCACCAGCTTTATGTCACTTCCCCTTCCATCGTGTGTTTGAAAATGTGAGTCTGAGTCGTTTTCAGAACCACAACCAGGAAAGGCCTGGTTGTTTGATGATGTACTAAAAGGATTTCAGCCCAGTAAAACATAACCTTGTGTGAGACACTGTTAGAACCTTAAATGGTATCTATAATAATATAATAGAGTCCAGTCAGAATACACCAGGCCTGTAATTTAGCTTCTCCAGATGAAGATGTTTGTCATGCTCCCAGATTAACTTTCCAAAGAGCTCCCTGTAATTTGCGTGCAGCTAAACCTTTGGCACCAATCACATTAGCCCATGTCTTCAGTTCCTGAATGCATCACGGCGATTGGCAATGTTTTAATGAGTAACTCCGCCACCCTGGTGGGAAGAAGCATATGGACCCTAATTACCAGGTGAGGGGGGAGGGACGGTCGCGCTCGTCGCTAACGGCTTGCTGTCTTTTTTTTCTCTCAACAGTTCTCCCTCTGTTTTCGTTCAGATTAATGTGCTGTGGCGTGGCCCCCGCAACAACCCGCTGCAGCCAGACTCCCCCAAAAAAGCGGGGAATCCATTAATTATGGTGAGGGGCCCCTCCGACTCTTTGTGTCTGCCTCAGCCACTGCCCCAGACAGAGCCCGTGTGAAAAAGACGACTCGAGAGTTTTATGATGGCCCTGGGGGGAAAAAATTACAGAGGGAAATTAAAGTGAAGAGTAAGATTCCCCTAAATTGACACAAGTTGTTGACTTTACATGATCATATGAGTGAAATGCAAATCATTTTTCAGGACTTGTTGCTTTTGTAACAGACTTCATATTTAATGTCTTCACCGCAATATTTGTCATCTCATATTATCAGATTTGCATTTGAGAACCAGTACCAATGATTAATGAAGAAAATGTCAAAGTGTCAAAATGCCTGCAGTAATATTAATAATAACTTTATTTATAGAGCATCTTTAACACAAAAGTGCTTGACTACAAGAAAACAAATGGTTAAAATACAGAAGGAAGTACCACCACTTACTGATTTTCAAATGGGTAAAATCTTTCTGTAGCAGATCTGTCTATTCTCAGTGACACCGTCTGCATGCTCTGACCTGCTCGAATCAACATTGTTTAGTGAAATGAAGTACATGCTTATGTGTATATAGAGCTGGGAAGTGAGATCCGATCACATGTCGTCACGGGAGATGTGAAAATACGTTACTTAAAGCTGTGTTCGGATCTCTCACGTTTCTCTTTCTTTTAGACACCGATGACTCAAGCTTTGTGAGAGGGCTTCTATCTTCGGGTGTGCTGGATGTCTGTGACAGATCCATGGGTCAGAAGGACCATGTGGAGGCAGGCCACATCCTCGACCTGGGGCCGGATTTGGAGTATCTCCACGTAGCTGGGGCCGACCGGCAGGCTGGCGGCACTGACGGAGCCCCTGCTATGGAGGAGCAGGGGGAGTGCTCCGGTAGCAGCAGCACCGCCAATTCCCCTCCGCCGGCCGCAGTGGAGGAAAATTCTGGGCCCGATGCCGATTGCGAGCCGGCATCATCTTCCAGCTCCGCCCTTGCTGCCGGCCCCGACGCGGTTGGAGGAGAGGGAGCATCAACTCACGCTAAGAACACCCACCAGCCACTTTGTCGTACCCAGTGTGTGGACTTGGGCACCGAGGGGCCTCCTGAACCCCCATCTGAACTCTCATCTGGGCATGAACATGATACTCCTGTGCAATGTCCACCCAACTCCCCGTGCAAGAACCCCTCCGAGCCCCGGCCCAGTCCGTCCAAATCGGAGCCAGCGTCTGCGGCCGGCGGGAAGGAGTACCGGGCTAAGCTGGAGTTTGCCCTGAAGCTGGGTTATTCTGAGGAGACAGTGCGACTGGTGTTGTCCAAGCTGGGCCCTGACACCCTCATCAACGACATCCTGGGAGAGCTGGTCAAGCTGGGAACCAAGTCGGACAGCGAGCAGCCGGCCGGATCGTTGGCCTCCACTTCATCCTCTTCATCCTCCTCGTCATCGTGCGGTTGCTCTGATTTGCTGGACGGCCAGAGGTCGGACTCGCCCTGTCTCTCAGACCCTCTGTGCGACCAGGACAACCTGCGGCCGATTGTGGTGGACGGAAGCAATGTCGCCATGAGGCGAGTAGTCCCTAGTAACCAGTCTTCACTCTCTGACATGGTTAGAATTAGTATGAGACATTCAGTTGTGATAATTGGAGACTGTAGTAACTGAAGCAAGGGTGTCAGATCCATGTCTACTGATTAGCTGCTCATTTTATTATGTTGTAATGACTCTTAAATACTCTCTGAGTAAACACCATTTGTTTTTAATCTAATCATGTAGTAATGACCACTAAGTACTCATTTAATAATGATGCAATGACTAGTAGTTAAGACTATTTAGTGCAGGATTGTTGTGTTAGACTAAATCATTTTAAATGGACGATAAAATGTTTTTCAGTTCACTCACTGTAAAATGACACCATGTAAAACCTCAAACATTAATTTGATAATACCCTCTGCCCTTTTTTGCCTTTGTAGTCATGGCAACAAGGAAGTGTTTTCTTGCCAGGGCATCCAGCTGGCAGTGGATTGGTTCCTCGAGCGTGGCCATCATGACATCACAGTGTTTGTGCCCGCATGGAGAAAAGAGCAGTCCCGCCCCGATGCCCCTATAACAGGTCAGTGAGACACCTTGTGACACAAACACACACGCAGTCCGTGCAGATTGTTGTAACCCCCCTCCACAGATCAGGAGATCTTGCGTCGCCTGGAGAAAGAAAAGATCCTGGTCTTCACTCCCTCACGGCGCGTCCAAGGACGGCGCGTGGTCTGCTATGACGACCGCTTCATTGTCAAGCTGGCATATGAGTCAGACGGCATCATCGTCTCCAATGACAACTATCGAGACCTGGCTAACGAGAGGCCCGAGTGGAAGAAGTTCATCGACGAGCGGCTGCTCATGTACTCCTTCGTCAACGACAAGTAGGAAGGGAGGGGTTAGTGAGGGACGGCTTTTGTCAACGTCATAGACCTTGGTGAAAAAACTGTGAATCCAGAGATGTAACTGAATGAAATTTGAACAATTATATAAGATTTCCCACAACAATAACAATTTGCACTTGGTTTTAGATAAAGAATTACATCTCATTTAATTCTGTATACACATATATACACTTTCCCGTTCCTTCAAACTATTTACTGAAGAAATTATAGCAAACTAAACACTGTGCTTCAACATACATTAGCCTTATCATCTTTATCATTAACCACTGACACACAAGGGGGCAAGTTATATAATCGGTATGTGCCTGAACACCGTGTTACACCGGTGCCACCGACTACCACGGCAACCCTAATGAAAAAAACCTTTTCTAATACCGTCTCTCAGATTCATGCCCCCAGACGACCCTCTGGGCCGTCATGGCCCCTCCTTAGACAACTTCCTGAGGAAAAGACCTGTCATGCCTGAGCAGAAGAAACAGCCTTGTCCATACGGTGAGAACATATACACATGTGCACACGCACACACACACAGAAACAGACACACACACAATGTACATATCTAAAAGCGCACCAGGAAATGAGTTAAAGGAAATTTAAATCCTAATGATGTTGCATGATGTTTGTGTGTAGACTGTGTTTTCAATGTGCTTGAACAATTTCCCAGGTGACATATGTTATACAATTTTTGCTGTAATGCTTGAAATGTACTGTGTATTTTGGGGGCTGTTAACTCGACATCCAGCTGTGCTAGACTTTCACTAATACAATTTAAAGTTTTCCACAGGCTTCACTATAGCAAGGAAAGACTCTCAAAGCTCTATCCAGACAAATTCAATGAGAAATGTAGTGGATGCTTGCAGATTCGTGCCCCAAGTTGTCTAACTTCTGGCAACTATTTTTTAAAACAATTTCAGATATATTAGGCATAAATCTAAGTCCAACCCCACATATCGCTATCTTCGGCAAGCCCCCAGACGACCTCCGTACCACAGCCACTCAAAATAATGTTATTGCCTTTGCTTCCCTTATTGCTCGTAAGAGAATTCTTTTACTGTGGAAGGCTCCTCAACCACCATCGATCAAAGTCTGGTAACATGATATTTTAGGTCTTCTGAAACTGGAGAAGATCAAATCCTCACTCAGAGGCTCATCTGACAGGCTTTATACTCATTGGAAACCACTACATAACTATCTAGATGGTCTGCCAGCTCTGGACGTTACTCCGTAGAAATACATTGTATGGCCATGTACCCGCTCCTCTGTGCCGTCAGAGGCAGATAGCTTGGATGATAGAGGAGTAAGCATTGATATTTGCTTTGTACATTTAATGGTCAGCACTAGCACTTTTTTGTTTGTTTTGTTGTGTGTATTATTTATTTATGTATTTATTTTTTGTATCTGTACATTTGTCATTTTATTTAATTTATTATTTTTTTATTATATTATTTCACATTTGTGTAACTATATCTACTTATTTGTACTATACTTTAATTATGTAAGAAGACCAGGGGGAGGGGGGTTGTCCATTCAAGTTCTTAAAATGTTTGAAAAGAAAAGAAAAGAAATAGTGTTCTTGTACACGGCACTGTCAGTGCACATGTCACTGTTTTACATTTAATAAATAAAAGTTATAAAAAAAAAATGTACTGTGTATTTCTAATGTAATAAACACTAATCAACACTCTCTGGCTCTGTTTTTCAGGGAAAAAGTGCACTTATGGCCACAAGTGTAAGTACTACCACCCAGAGCGAGGTGCACAGCCTCAGCGCGCCGTGGCTGACGAGCTGAGAGCCAGCGCCAAGACCTGCGTCACCACGAAGAACCAGGGAGACGCTGGGCTGGTGAAGAGCCACAGTGTGCCAGCTGGCAGCATTGAGGCAAAGAAAGGGGCCCCGAAGAGGCAGTCGGACCCCAGCATCCGAGCTCTGTCGTACAGTGACGCTGAGGAGAAGCTGCTGGCAAAAGGGAGGGTGGAGAGCCAAAAGAGCAGTTTGTGTGGTGGCGGCAGTTGCAGTTCCAGCAGCAGCAGCTGCAGTGGGAGTAGCACCATGGCCCCGGCCCCAGGGGGCCCTCCATCCAGCCTTAACCTCCCCCAGGATCACCAGTCCAGAGCAGTCACTCCTCACAGTCTCCTCCCAGTCTCCAGCCACGACCTCTACCCTCACTGTGAGTCCCCTGACCTGAGCTACTACTCAGTTATGCGTGCCTACTCTGGCCTGAGCCTGTCCTCCAGACGGAGCCCAGACTGTCGCTTCCCCAACGACACGGACCTGCGGCTGGGCTCGTTTGGCTCCGCGGGTTCCGAGTGCGGCAGCGAGAGCAGCACGAGTTGCGGCAGCAGCTGTGACTCGTACAGCGAGAGACCATGTCCTGGATGTCCCCCAGAGACCTTACTGGAAGACAACCTCCATTTCTCGAACCCCCACAGCCGCCTGTACCCCCATCACACTGCAACAAACCATGAACTCGGTGGTCTCCACCACGCGGATTACACAAATATCCAGCACAGCCACACGACTAACACCAGCATTCACAGTTACCACCTGAGCTTGACACGTGGGCAGAGTTGTGCTCACGATCAACCGCTGCCAGAGGCTCCGCCCAAGCGTCCTCTGTACTCCTTACCCCCTCATCTCCAGCACCAGCAGCTGGCCGCACGCTCCAGCTGCCCGGGCGACTACCACTCTCTGTCGCAGCCCAACCCTCACCCCCCTGGCTCTCCTCTTGGCCGCTGCCTGGCCCCCACGCGAGCAGAGAGTGTGTCGGACTCGCATCTGTACGAACACCTCTCGACGTCGCAGCATCACCACCGACCGAAGGCTCTGCCCAGCTGGGACACGTACTACAGACAGCCGTTACCACCGTCCAGATACGAGCCGTCAGCCTATCAGAGCCTGCCAGACACGCGGCAGTCGTCCTGGCACACCCCTCCCTGGGCGCAGGACGGGTACGCCCAGCAACACTCCTCTCACCCAGCTCTCCACCCGTCCCCGACGCATTACCTTAATCACCCTCCACCTCCCGCCCTCTCCCCTCATCCTCCTCATCCATCCAGCACCCCTCTTCCGCCCTACCCTCCGCACAGCGCTCACCTGACGGTGCCCTCCCACACTCCTCCCTCCTACATGCCACAGCACTCGGAGTCCCCGGCGCACAGCTGCTACGGGGACGTTAGGGAGAAAGTGTTCATCAATCTGTGCAACATCTTTCCCTCGGAGCTAGTCAGCCGGGTGATGGCCAGGAGCCCCCACGTCACAGACCCCCAGCAGCTGGCAGCCGCCATCCTGGCAGAGAAGGCCCAGACGGGCTACTGAAGAATAAGAAAATAAAAACGTGGTTCGCATCAGCGGACAAACATGAATTTGCCTTTGAAACTCTTGAAAGCATGTTGGAATGCTGGAAAACTTTTGTCTGCAAGGAGAGCATGATCTCGTCTTATGAAGTTGCTGAAGAGAATCCAAACCCGGCTCGAGTCACTGTGCAACGACTACTTAATCCACTCGTGTGGAAAAATGGAGTGGAAATCTGTGACTTTTACACCAAGTGCAACTTGAGAAGATTGTTCCACACGTGCTCGATTGTAATCTCTTTTTCTGTGATTTCATTCGTAGCTTCCCATGAAGGAATGCATCGACATTTTAAGGCACTTTTTTATTTTACAGCCCCAATCTTAAGGTGTTTGTTTCACATCCAAAGCAAACGACATGAAGGGTTATTTCATTTATGACCCATCGTGTGCACTGTACACTTATACTCAGAGCTGAGTCAAACAGTGTTTGGAAAATGTTTTTCTTGCATGTGTGTAGCACCAGTCAGATGGGATTTTCTATTTATAACTAAAACAAAAGCATCATAAATATTCAAACTTCCCTTCACATGTTTCCTTTTTTGTTGCAAAATCCCATCTGTTTCAAACGACTATTTGACATCTGTGTATCATATTAACCTCTTCCTGTGTGCTGTGCAGCTGTCGTGTGGGGTTTTTTTCATGTCGGTGAAGACGTTTGTCTTGTTTGGGACGGCGTCAGTATTTCGGTCAGAGCTGTAGAGATGGGTGACCCTGTCGTGTGTACCTTAGTTTTAGTAAGGGACATCTCTCTCTTTCTTTAACTCTCTCTCTCTCTGTCTCTCTCTCTCTCTCTCTCTCTCTCTGGCCCTTTATTCTGGGTCCGCTCTGGTTTCTGCAACAGACAGGGATCAACCTCGACACCGGTGAACGGAACTTGCACGTACTGTAAATATATTTAACCAAACCCCCCCCCCCCGGCAGTGATTTCGTCGAACAGCGTCTACCGCTGTCTGTAGCAGATCCCAGCTGAATCCGCGCTAGACAGAGAAAAACCTTGTTTGATACAAATTGTATCATGAACTAAGTCGCTGATGTTCTATACAGTACATGGACTTGTTGACGTGTATTTATCAAACACTCTCTGTGTATTACGTGATGATGATGAAGTGCATTGCCAACATCTTTTAATCTGAGCTTTGAGACATTTACTTCAAATATGTTATGAAGCAGGAGGAGTTGTGTGCCTACTATGTTTAGGTGTTTCAACTTCTCTCTGTGCTTTTGGGTTTGAAGCTGGCTTTTATTTTACAGGAGCTCCAGTTTAACTACCAGCGAGGACTGTTGTTTTGTTTCACTGGCTGACGGGACAAAACGGCTCATTTGAGAATCAAAGTGAATAAGTTAAAGTTTGTTTAAGCCTTGATGTGGATAAGTCACATTCTAAAACTGATTTATTATCAGGGGCAAATTATTTCTAGAAATCGTTAATTTAGGGGAAAGACCCCAACAGTGTGTAATGAGTTCAGTTTTCCATTTGAGTCAATCTCCGATGGCGGCTATTTTGAGTGTCTGCAACACTCATTGGAATTATAAATTAATCCGTAATTAATTGAGTTGAACCCAAAATCTCCGCCAAGGAACTTACCTCGACGCTGAGCTCGTCGTGCGGTTTATCACAAGCCAGCTACGTAAAGCCCACTGGTTTCTTTCCTGTCCGACGTGTCACATTGTACAACTGTCGACTGAGTGTACAACAACACGTGCTGTTGATATGAGGGAACCTTTGTGTGTATCGAAGCGCCTCCTCTCTGGCCTCCTGACACCGTGTGTCAGCGTGGCACCTGAGCGTGGGCCCAAAGTAATGCCTCTTCATGGCATTGTGCTTATGACACATCCAATACTCTGAACTATGTTCAGCTAACTGTTATGCATGTTTTGATTTGTTTTGATTTCTGCGTGTATTTAATTTGTGTACAAAGCTGTGTGTTTTGCATTTATGACCCATCTGTGGTACTTGATGCTCGCTGTTGAGAAGCTTCTGGGTTCAATTGTACACAAGCGTGGTTGTTAATGTTTTCTTTGTTAATGTGTCATTTCGTAAAGTGTTAGTGTTTGGTGAAGCACCCATCTTTATAAATATTTAAGTCAGGGCAGAAAGCTATCTTGTTTTCTGTAGGATCAGGAAGCTTGGTCCAACATTGTTTTTTTTTGAAGTGCACTCTTCCATAGATGGTGATCGTAAATTATAAATTGACCTGTTTGCTCTAGATGTTTCAAATCTATACAGAATCAAAGTCCTTTATTTCAAACTCGATCTACATTTTGCCAGTAGAAATACAGCATAACTGTTTGTAAGATTCTCAACTGTACTTGTGATTGTTCATTAAAGTGAGTACCGCTATACAAAGCCTTTTGTTTGAATGACCCTCCACACATGAGAATAGAGTAAGAATCACAATTCGCATCTACGGAATTACAGCTACTCGACCAAACACATGTTTAGTTTTACAAACTTACAACCCCATTCAAATTTTTCTAAATTTCTCTCTATTTTTTTTATATTCCTCATTTTGAAGTGTTGCATGTTACTTATAACATGCTGGTTTATTGTTTCTTCTGTTTCCATCAACAGAGCAGATCATTGAGACACTTCTTTGTGACAAACACAAATGCAGATCAATTATGTGATATACATCTTCACAAAATCTCTAATCACCAGAAGATCGAATCAATGGGTTGCTACTTTAGGTGGTACTCACAGAGAAGAGACTCCCAAACCTTTTTTTCATGTAGGTGGTTACAGATGATAATATTAAATAAATATTTCAGCTTGGATGTTGCAAGAATTGAATTCGTGTCCCACAATCTATAAGTCAACCTTCTAGCCATTTCAATTCAATTCAATTCAATTTTATTTATATAGCGCCAATTCATAATTTACATTATCTCAAGGCACTTTACATTTAAAGGTCAAGACCTTAAAACAATATTAACATAGAGAAACCCAACAGTTCCCACAATGAGCAAGCACAGGCGACTGTGGAGAGGAAAAACTCCCTCATTAACAGGGAGAAACCTCTGGCAGAACCAGGCTCAATGTGGGCGGTCATC